AAAACAAAACAAAAAAAACAAAAAAAAAAAAAAACCCAAAACAGGAAATGGGGAAAAAAATTCTGCCTGAGGTTTGTGTGTAATAGAGTGTAACTTTTACGCCTGGGTATATATTAAAGTTCTAGTCTTGTTGCTTGATTTTGTTAAATTATGTGGTGTATCTTTTCTTTAAGTATTGAGTTTAACATATCTCAGATTCGCAGTCACTGTTCAGAGTTTGTTTTTTTTTCTCTGTACTAAATAGCTTAGTCTGGCTTCAAAGTAAATAGGTAGCTTATCGCTATTCAGCAGAAATCCCTGGTCTTAAGTAAAAATACTGTCTGTCTTCCTCCTGAGCTGGTGTGTTAGACTATTTGGAGACCTCTGAGGCTCAGCGGGCAACTTACTTTTGATTATTGTTTAAACGCAGAGAATTTAAATGTGAATGCTTTAACTTGCTGCCAACCAACATGTTCTTAGGAAGAATGTACTTTGTGATGTGGTTTCTTGAGTCCTTAGTTATTTTTTCAGGAAGACACCTAGTATTTTTAACCAGCTTAAAACACTTTCTGCTCTTTGCTCGTACTAGTAGGGTGATTGCAGAACCGTGGAAGTCGGGCTCTTGCTGCACGTGATGCATCCTCCGGGGCTTTTAACTCCAGTTAAATGCGAGCCATCTCTGTTGGTTGGAGAATCATTGATCTGGTTTATTAAAAGCTGATCCATGCAAAATGCTAAAAAAAAAAACAACCAACCAACCAAACAAAACAAAACAAAAAAAAAAAAGTCACCAGCAGCTCTTCTTGTGTGCTTATCTGAAAGAGCAGTTTGTATCTGTGTCGCCCAGGTGAAACGGGCACGATGGTTAAAAATAAATAAAAGCTCGTGGGCAGCAGCAGGATTCCTGCCTGCGTTCATCCCGCTGTCACTGTCACCTCGGGGTCACCGGTAAACCGCACGGATGGGGCCTCTGGGAGCTGTGAGAAAGCTTTAAATAATTCTTGCCTCTAGCCTGGGTAAAATCCATCAGCCTTTACAATTACCCGTTGCGTCCGTTGCCGGCACGCGCCGTGCTTAATAGTCGTTTAACTCCGAGTGCCAGTGAGCCTTGAGAACCACCTGGAGATGTGGTTTTCAGAAGGGCTCGGAGCAGCAGGGCTTTGGGGTCTTCCTCGCAGCAGAGTCTTCCCATTCCACTTGAAACACCTCGGGCTGTGGCAGCGCAGACCCGGCGGGGACTGGTGTGGGAGTGGAGAGGAGACGCTCGCTCCTGCCGGGCAGCAGCAGCACTGCCGTCTCACCCCCCTGCAGAAACCAAATCTCACTTTCTGGAACAAGATTGGGGTGGCCAGTCCAAGGATTGCTGCAGGTTACCCGCTTCCACGCCGCTCGGTTTTAAAATGAATTAGCCACATCACGTCGATCAAGACTGGGAAAGCAAAAGTGGGTTTTGTTTTGGTTTGGTTTGGTTTTTTGGTTTTTTTTTTTTTTTGGAGTGCATCCTCCCTTTCCCTGCTCCCAGGAGGCACTGACAATGCTTCCCAGGCTGGGGAGCTGCATCTTCCCAGCTAGAAAATACCCCGAGGTCTTCCTGTGCTGGAGAGTATCACTTATAAACACAACCCTGCCCAAAAAGGCCGCAGCACTGCCTGCTGGATTTACAAATGGCCTAAACTGGTAATTATGTCCGAGAGGAGCCTCCTCTCTTCGTCCTGGGCGCTGAAGCTGAGCAATGAGGAGGGAAGCACCAGGATGGTTCCCAGCCCAGTACACAGAGACCTGGCAATAGTCTGGACTTCAGAGAAATTCTGTCTTTTTAATATATTCAACACAGTTTTGCAGATCAAAAAACCCTGTCTTATAAGGTACTTCCTAAGAGAGAGGCAGACATCTATATTTTTAGAGTGAGAATAACTGGGTTTTATGTAACGAGCTGAATCTGTCATTTGCAGATACACATCTGGGACTGGATTCCTAATTCACAGCACGGAATACCGAGATTTGTCCTTTTTCCAGGCATCATTTATAAAGCAGCAGTATCAAGATTTTATTTTATTTCACCCAGTTGTTCTCTATATTAAAAACAGCGTCTCGGAAGCCCCGACACTTCCACTTGAATTGGCAAAATAAGTTTCTCTAATCGCACCCCTATTTTGGGATATGTTTGAAACTAGTCGTTCACTCTGTAAGAAAAGCTATTGCATTGTAGTTTAATTAGAATTTATATAATGATTTTTACAGCAACTGTGTAAGTGTAAACAGTATAAAACTAAACAAGTATTAATTTATAGATTATTTGTGTTATTGTTGTAGGCCAGTGGGCGTGTTGGTCCCAGCTGTAAATAACAGCAGTGCATCACTCTGCTGCTGCAGCCATTTCTGTAGCCCAGGAATTTCAGGATAGGAATTAAAAAAATTTTAGCCAGACTTTTGAGAAGTATTTGCCCTTGAAAACCTGTAGCTTCGGTATTACTTGAGGGCTAAGGATCGACTTTCATGATAAGCAGCCTCCGCCTTAAAATTCAGGTGGGAGGTGTTTCGGTGCACAGCCTTAGAGAGGCTAGGTATGTCATCCAGCAAAATGAGGAGAAACCAAACCTGGATCTCCCTGGATATATTACTTCATAACTTAAAACTACTGCCCCGTGTTGCACCCCTTAAATCTTTTAAGCATGGTATGATGGAATCTTTTTCATAAGAGCAGCAAGGGAATAAACCAATTTAACACGGTCTCTTTGTGCGTTTAAATTACTTCTTTTTACTGTTGAAATTCTGAATTCTTTTTTTTTCTGCAGTTGAATAAAAATCCATCTATCCATTTAACATGTAATAAGCTTCTTTCTGCTGCACTGCTATTTCTAGGTTTTTTTTGGTGACTGGTAAGACATCACGCGGTGGTTCCCTGAAAATACTTCACTTTTCTTTCTGAGTCTTCTTCAGTTCATTTATAGTTGATAAAAACTGAGCATTTCAGCAGCATTGCCAGGAAGCTGCGGGTGCAGCTGGACCCGACCAGCATCTCCTGCTCTTCCCCGGAGCCACGCAGCGAGCGTAGGAGACGCTTTGCACCGCTCCCAATTCTCTCCTGTCCAAGGCAGCAGAACCAAAATGAAATGCAATCTATTTATAATGGCCCAGCCAGGACCTTTTCACACCTCTGGAGTCTGTTTAAAACCATGGAGTAACGGGCATGGGGTAATGGGGATGTAAAAAGTGTGGTGATGGTGTTTCCCCTTCCCTCTCTCCCCATCCCTCGGTAATCCAGATGGCTTAATTAATTTTGAGTTTTATAGGCCGGGGTGAAACGTGTCAGAGAATCGTTCCGTATTTAAAAGTGAATTATCCCTTTGTGTAAAAAGAGCAGAGCGTATTTGTTGAGGTCATCCTGAAAGCATCATCACTAAAAATTATCTGCTGATGCAGAAAATTGGATTTATTCTTCTGTTAGCATTTCCATAAAAATACAATTATATATAAATTTATGTTCTCTAAAAGCTTGTAGTAAACTGGGCTTTCAGAAAATAAGACACTTATCTTTTAAAGTCCAGTTTTAAATGACCAGATGGTGCTTACAGTATGGAAGCATAAAACGGGTTGAGAGGTAATTGATTATTTCCATTTAAAAAACGGAGGGTGAAACTTGAGGTGAAGCTCCTTTTAATTGCTGTGCGGTTAACTCCTGCCTCTCAGCACAGCAGCTGCGCTGCCTGCAGCCCTTTGGGGGGAGCACCTTGCTGAAATCCCCACGGGCCAGGGCCGGCACCCCTGGACCATCCCGGCCCCCCCCCTCCCCGGGGGCTGCACCAGCATCTCAGGGGGGGCTGCAATTAAACAAGGGGTTTAAAACTTAACTCAGGGGCTCTGATATTGCGGCTTGCTAGGGAGGGGCAATTAAGCTGCCGCTTAATAAGGGTTTTATGAAGCGGATCTTAAATATTCCTGCACGTTTGAAAAACCCACGTGTCATTCGTTCGAAAGACTTCACTCCTCGGCGAAAGTAGGATCTTTTGAGCAAAGCGTGCTTCGCTCGCTTCGATTTCTGGCTTTATTTTCACGTTGCTCGGCCTCGCTCCTTGGCGGGGCTGTAGCGGGTGGCGTTGGAGCGCGCTTCGTGCAGCGGGAGGTTCATCTTGCAGAAAAAAAAAATTGCAAAAAAAAAAAAAAAAAAAAATTCCCGAGCGAGGGTTTACATAGTTTCTGTCTTCTCCCCCGGGGGGAGCAGGACACGTGAGCCCCGGAGCGTGGCCGTGGAGGTCCTGTCCCCGGGGGCAGTTCTCTGCTTTCCCAGTCCCTCCTTCCCTGCTTCTGGCACCGGCTCTGGCTGTGAAGTCCTCCGTTACCAGCCTGCTTGCTCTTCCTCATACACACTATATTGTTTTAAAAGTGCATTTGAGGTGCAGCAACGCCGAGAATCGACCCGGCCTTGAGCGCTGAGTTTCTTCTCAGAAAGCTTGTGCTTTAAAAAATGATAAAAAAAAAAAAAAAAAAAAAAGCAGGGCCAGAAACAGCCCTTCCTTTCTATGTAGGTATCTCAGCGATTTCAGCTGTGAGAACTGTGAATATTTGTAGGCTTGAGGTTTTGATTATAGGGCTGTTTTGTTGGAAATCCTTCTTTCGTGGTGCTGGGTAGGTGGCTGTTATATTTTGCTGAGGCTGGCGGGAGTTTGTTCGCTGGTTCCCGGTGGCTGCTGAGCGTCTCGTTACCATCACCCCCTCTACACAGAGGCGGCTGCCCTGCGATCGCCGCCGTTTCTTCGCATCCTTTGCGTTCGGTGAAACAATCCGTTGGCGCAGCCGGGAGGTGATTCGTGACTTGGTATGTTTGATCTCGTCGCTTATGGAGAGCTGGAATAAACCCAGATTCTTTTCTCGGTGTCCCCGGCTGTCCCCTTCCCACCGAACGCCGCAGTTGTGATGCTCCAGCTCCTCCACGGCTCTGAATTAGCAGAACCGACGGTTTCTTAATAAACCTCTCCCCTCTCTTTTTTTTTTTTTTTTTTTTTTTTTTTTTTTTTTGGCAGGTATGGTGTGAATATGCGTTGCTTGGCAGCTCGGGTCAACTACAAGACTCTGATCATCATCTGCGCCCTCTTCACCCTGGTGATGGTGCTGCTCTGGAACCGATGCTCCTCCGACAGAGCCAGTCCCTTCCCCCGCGGCCTCGAACGCCGAGGAGGAGCCGCCGCCGCCTCCGAGAGCGACCCGGCCCGGCAGCAGAGCGAGGAGGCATCACCCCAGGAGCAGCAGAAGGCTCCCCCCGTCGCGGGAGGCTTCCACAGCAACAAAGCCCCGGGGCTGAAGTACGAGGAGATTGACTGTTTGATCAATGACGAGCACACCATTAAAGGGAGGAGGGAAGGCACCGAGGTCTTCCTGCCGTTCAGCTGGGTAGAGAAATACTTTGAGGTTTATGGGAAAATTGCTCAGTACGATGGTTATGACAGGTTTGAATTCTCTCATAGCTACTCCAAAGTATACACACAGCGAGCACCTTACCACCCCGACGGGGTCTTCATGTCCTTCGAGGGCTACAACGTAGAGGTTCGAGACAGAGTGAAGTGCATAAGTGGTGTGGAAGGTTTGTGTTGAGTATTTCATTTTTTTTTTTTTTTTTTTTTTTTTTAATAGTTGTAAAATTTGCTGCCAGCATTTGAGATGCGAAGCGATCTTAACGTTGTCGTGGTCCTGTGGGTAAAACCCGCTTACTCGGAGAAATCAAGCGCGGTCTCTGCTTCATACCAGGCTCACCAGCTCCCATCCGGCATCTCTGGGTTTACTGGTTGCAGCAAATTCTGAAGGTGCCGGGACGCTTCTCTTACAGTGCTGCTGTCGGGTTTTGGCATTGTCGTAGAAGCTTGTCATCTCTGTCAGGGAGCCAAAATGATTTTAAAATATAGAATTAAATAAAAAAGCCTGGCCCAGCTGTCTGGGGAGGCTCTTGCTTCCCTGTGGGCACAGATACAGCCCCACGCTCCGAGCCAAACGGCGCTGCCAGCACCTGAGGAACAACCTGGCTGCTCACGGGCAGCTTAAATATTGGACATTTCACTTCAGGTTTAACAATATCCCGTCTCCTTGCGTTGCTGGGGCAGTGCTGGAGAAATAGCAAGCCAAACTTTCCCTGCTGGGCTGCTCCAGAGCCGAGCGGGCAGCGTGGAATCCGCTGTTGCCAAAGCTCATCCTGCGCACGGGTCCGGCTAAATCGGCGTCACCGCCTGGGGCCTCGTCCTGCTAAAGGCGCTGCCGCCTGCGGCAAGGTGAGGAGGTTTGGGGGAGCTGCTGAAGGGTGGTCAAAAAACTCTCCAGCCACTGAAGCGTCCCTGGATAAAATGAGTATACGGTCAAGCCTTTCCAATTAGCGCTTTTGCTAAACCGGGCAATCAGTAATTAGCGCGCAAGGTCTTCCTGCGCCTGGGCGAAGATCTGATCGCGCGAAATCCTTGTCGAGCTTCATATTAAAAAATTAATGACTTTATAAAGCTGCGACGGAATGTGACACTGTGACCCCTCATAAATTAAAGACCGACTTTCACTTAGGGAATAAAATAGATTAATTTTCATGCAGCTCAGTGATCGGCGGCGCTCCGCTGGGTTGGTGTGAGCTCTTCCCGTGATACGGTCACTGCAGAGGGCTGGCACGTCTTGCAATTAATTTGTCTGTAAAGGATTCACGTAAACAAATGCATAGGATATGTCAGGTTTTTTTTTTTTTTTTAAGGTTACTCTCATTTTTTTTTTTTTTTTTAACTCTCACCCTCGTTACCTCTTGCAAGGAAGGGGAACAGGGCTCTGAAACGCAGGGCTTTGCCAAAGGTGCGAATGCATCCTGGTTACTGCACATCCCCTGCGTGTGAGCGTTGCCCTGCTCAGGGTTTACATCCGCGGTGAGAGGCTGGGCAGACAGCTTTCCTTTCTGGTTGCTACAGTCAGTGCTGGTCGAACACAGCTTGGGGGTGTGAATAATGGCCACGGGCGCCGCTTTTGTTGCTGGGGGGTGGGCTTGGACCCGGGTCTTGGAGCCCCATCAGTTTTTGTAGGAAATGTGGAAGACGCGCAAGGCTTTGCGATTGGACTCCGCGGGTCTTGTGCGGTTTTTTCAGCAAAAAGATGAAATTTGGTAAGAGCTAACTGAGAACCAGACCTTGCCAGATGTGCACGCTGGGGACACGAGGCGCTGCGCGTAGCTGCTCTTGACGTCAGCCTCAAGAGACCGAGTTTAACACTCGCCAGCGTGGTTATTTGTCGATAAACTTTGCTTTTTTTGCAGCATGTGATTTAAGAGCTGCCATTACGAAACGCGGCGCCAGAGCCTGGGGTTTGTAACGGCACCAGAGTTACCAGCATCCAGCAAGCAGGTCGGAGAGGAGCGATAGTCATAGTTTGTAGGGAAGGGGTTTTAATATTAAAGCCTGTTCTCAGACAGCTTTAGGCTCTTGCCTTGCATCATTCCAGCCCCAAAGATTCTCCTGTTGCTGCACGATGGAAAAAAGCCTCGTGTTCTATTTTCACCTTCTCCCTTTCTGCAAGGTTAATGTGTTGTTATGTCCTATGACGTGGAGAATTTAATCTTGTCATCTTGTATAAATTTCAAGTAAAGCTCTTCTAGCAGATTTCTTTTCTTGCATCTTTCAGTCTCAGTGAATGCACCCTTAACTGAAAATGCTTAGCATTAATGAGTGAGCTGGCTTCCAGGACTTGAGATAATACGTGGTATTTAAATATTTCCTGTGATGGTTTTCTCTCTAGGCAGCAGTAAGCCATCATATCGCCATCAGTAATATTTATTAGTAACACAAAGCACCAAAATATGTATGAAAATGTATCTTTTTATATTTAGTTCAAGTAATCTTTTCATTGTACCAGATTTCAGAAGAAATTGGTTTCTGAGCTCGACATTGCCAGGGGGGAAAATGGTGCAAATGCCAACTTGTTTATTTTCATCTTTTTCTCACGTGCATGCAGAGGTTTGCAGCACTAATTATCCGTAGTTTCCTGCAGGAGGGTCCTAGTGATCTGTTCCCGCTTTGGATTCATACGTACGGGCTGGGAATTTGTCCCAAGCACGGTCCAGGACTTTAGGAGAATGCTGCTTTTATCCCTACCTTAAATATCCCGTGTTTGCTTGTTTCTGGAGGTATGTGTATAACTCCACGCAGTTTGTTTCTGGAGGTGTGTGCATAAAGAAGTCTCCTCCACGCAGTTTGGTCTCCTTTCCCGCACAGCCGGTGATGCAATAGGCAGTTTTACGGCCCGTGGGTTTTCCCCCCCAAACCCCGAGGCTGCAGCTCCGGGGAGCGGGTGAAGGGCGGGCAGAGGAGAGCCTGGAGCTCGGCGGGGTGTTCTCTTCGAAGGGCCGTGACGGAAGGTGGAAGCTTTCCATCGAGCACGGGCCCCGTGACATTGTCTGAGCTCATTCGATGGGTTTTGCATGTGAAATGCGACGCCTCAGGCTCCGCGAGACGGACTCTGTGCCCTTCCCGCTTCGAATCCTCGGGAGAGGGCGCGCTCCAAGAGGTTCTTGCTGGTGCGCCCGGACTTTTTAAATCTAAAATCACCCTGACCCTGGATTAAGAGTGAGAAGCGTGCTCTCCTGCGAGGCTGACGCCTTTCGGGACAGCTTTTCCTGGCAGCTGGGTTGTGTGTGGAGGGTTAATCCCAAGGGCAGCTGGGCTGGAGCAGGGGCTCTGAAGAGAAAGGACAGCTTTGGGTGGGAAAAGCGGGGCATCTTCTGCCGGTGTGGCACGGAGAGCTTGGCTGGTTTCCTCAGGCATCGCTTCAGACTGCGGCTGTAATGCTCCTAGGGGAGCCAGGGTAATTGGAGCAGATTTGTAGGTGCTGGGTAAATTGCTCTTTTAGCATCAAATAACTCTCACCAAAATCCGGTAATACCACAGCCGCTAAATTTTGCAAAGATTTATGTGGCATTAAAGGGATTGTGTTAGATGTAACATTGTTTGGAGATTTAGTGGTCTCTGGGGGAGGGGGGGGGAAAATCTGTGAGGGTGTTTTAAATATATTTTAAAATAAGTATGATGCTTCAATAAACAATTAAACGAGAATGTATGGAAGCCCATGATAAGCACTTCTCTACCGCTCAAATCTGCTTAGAGTTGACTAGTCACGGACCTCCGTGTAAATGGGAGCAATTCAGTCCTTAAACAGGACTTTCCTCGAGTCTAGCTAATGGTGAAACCTAGAAATATTACCCGCCAGAGGTAAAGGAGTGATGGAGTAAAGAGGAGGGGGTTGCAAACACTGGTTTTTGTGGCAACGCGCCCATTAAAATACTCCTTTTTCTTCCCCTCTCTCACAGGCGTGCCGCTGTCCACGCAGTGGGGACCTCAAGGCTATTTCTACCCCATCCAGATTGCACAGTACGGGCTGAGTCACTACAGTAAAAACCTGACGGAGAAACCGCCTCACGTCGAGGTGTACGAAACGGCCGAGGAGAAGGACAAAACCAGCAGGGCCGCGGACTGGACGGTGCCCAAAGGCTGCTCCCTGTCCACGGTGTCGGATAAAGCCAGGTTCACTAGCGTCAAACAGTTTGTCGCTCCAGGTGGGTTGTCCTCAGCGCGTGGCGGCGAAGCCACGTCCGTTAGTTTGCCCAGAACGGACCGGGGGGAGCTTTAACTTGCTGGGATTCGTGTGGTTTCGTTTACCCTGCCCGACTTCCCATCCTTAAGGTCTCCCCTGAGGAGGTCATGGCGTTTCTGTACCCCCGGAGTTTTTCTTTGCGTCTGTTTTCTCTCCATCACTGCTTTTCCAACATTGTTCTAAGGAAAAGATGAGTGGATTTGTGCATCGTGGAGGGCAATGAGAAGCTGCAGTCACGTTTCCTGAGCTTTTCAGCTTCTGTCTCAAAATAGAAGCAAAGAAAAAAAAAAAAAAAAAAGGAGATAGAACCAGTTGTGAAGCCTGGGAAATAGCGCTGACGTGTGATACGCAGATGTTGACAGATAAGGTCTATTTTCAGCCCGGTGCAAGAGCAGCACGTGCGGCTCTCCGCTTGGGCCTGGGACCTCTCTTTTTTTTCACTGGGATGCCACTGTTTTTGCGAAATTTAAGTTCTTAGTTCTGGCTAACCCGAGCTGCCTCGCAGGGGGCAGCAAGAGGGAGGAGCGGCCGAGGCGTTGGCGGGGGGGGGGGGGGAATCTGGGGCTGCGTACGGGCCCTCTCCTTCACCCGCAGACGCGCGAGATGCATTTTGTTGCCGTCTCTTCAATTGACCGTGTTCTGTTTTGTACTTAGCAGGGAAATTCATTATTTCTTGCAAGAGTTTCCTGTGTGCTCGGACAGGCTCATTAATAAGGACGGAATGTATTTTTCCTCAATCAATACCCATTAGAATTAATGAGTCCATTACTTAAAAAGACAATGAAGTAATTTTCAGCTGGCACCTCAGGCCTGGGTCTCCAGAGAAAAAAAATTGTCGAACACTCTTGTGTCTTTGTAGTAGATAAATATGGGGAGAGGAAAGGCTAAAAGATCTGTTCTGTATTCTCTCCTCATCCTTTATTGATGGCAGAGTAATCTGCAGGGCTCGAAGGCCGCGGTATGCATCCACTCGTCTGAGATGGCCTTAAGTAATGGATTTACAGGCGCTTAAAGCGGTGCAAACAACGGGCAGCCTTTAGTTCTCCTTCGTTTCTTAAAACTTTTTTTTTTTTCTTCCCCCCCCCCCCCCCCCCCATTATAATTCACTTCGTTATCACACAAGCATTTATTTACAAGGAACCATAAAACTTACTTGACAGGAATTGCGAGTGGGGTTTTTTTTAATTAGATTTTTCACAGGAGCAAAATGTTGTGTAACAAAGAGCTTGGTTTCTTCGCCCGAAGCAGATGCTGATCTCCAAAACTCAAAGGAGTGAAGCTTTTACTTAAAAAGGCTGGAAAAGGTGCCGTTCGGTCAAAATAAGAGGTACTGTGCAATAGCACCTTACAACACAAGGTGCTGCAAAATGCCAGAGGTAGTTGGGGAGGTGGGGAAAAGCCTCTGCTGGGCAGAAAACGCTGACCCTGCCTCGATGGTTGCAGGTAGAAACCTTGGTGGGGTATATCCCACGTCGAGGAGGAGCAGAAAGGAAACAGTTGCCTCGCGCGGGAGCATTTTATTCTATGGAAAGCCGTTAATTTAAAACGACTGTCTTTAAGTGTTTATCATCCCTCTGTGCCTTCAAAGCTACAGGATTTGCACGCAGCCTTCCAAACTAATTAGCCCTTTGATCTCCTAGTATAGTTTTTTTTGGGGAGTAGTTGATTTTACATTTTAAGATCTAGCTTGGATTTTATTGTGGCATTGCCTAGGAGCTTTATTTAATTTTTTTTTTTCTTAATTAAACTGAGGTTTGCCAACGCAGAGGTTAATAAATACTTTAACGCGTTAGTCTTTCTATATTCTTTCCTTCTTTTCTCCCTTTTTTTGGAGCTGTCAGGCAGGGAAAGAAAAAAGTCGCAGATTTAAATATTGGTCCCAGGGAGATGCTGAATACCTGCTTCTCGGCACTCCCGGATTTTTTTTTTTTTTTTTTTCTGCTGAAACCGGAGCTTTATGCAGGAACACGACCGCTCGACCGCTCGAGCGGCGCCGCGTTTTTGGTGTCTTTTCAGCCAAGTCCAGTTTTCGGTGCGGAACAAAAGGGCGGTTGTTGGTTTACGTTTTGAATTACGGAAGAGGAAAAAATCTCCTTTTTTTTTTTTTTTTTTTTTTTTTTTCTCGCATCTCCATTCTTGCAGCCTGGCTGCCGTGCTCTGCCTGCCCTGCACCCTGCTCGCAGGCAGCAGTAAGACCCTTTCCCTTACCCTGAATCCTGGTGGTGTCTGTCGTGCTCCTCCATCGGTCGGGTACCAGGAGCATCTGATAATAAAGCCATCGCTCGAGCCCCCGGCACCGCGTTAATGGAAGATGCCCACGAGTTCTCCCCGGTGCCGCGGGAGTCGGCCTCGGCATAAATTTACTTTTATGCTTAATTAAATAATATATGATAGCGCGCAGAAAGGAGGATTGAATTATTGATGGGCTGCCCTAAGAGCTTTTGGATGCTGCCTGGTACGAGGGCTTACCTCTGGAAGCTGCGCTCCGTAGCTTCGGTGCTGGGGAGAAACGAGTGCTTGACCACTGAGCAAGGCTTTTTTGGGTTTGTTTTGCAGAAAACACCGAGGGGGTATCTCTGCAGCTTGGGAACGCCCGAGATTTCATTATTTCTTTTGATCTCAAATTCGTAACGAACGGGAGCGTTTCCGTGGTTCTTGAGACGACGGAGAAGAACCAGCTCTTCACCGTGCACTACGTGTCCAACACCCAGCTCATCGCTTTCAAGGACCGGGACATCTACTACGGCATCGGTCCCAGGACTAGCTGGAGCACCCTCACCAGAGACCTGGTCACCGACCTGCGGAAGGGCGTCGGCCTCTCGAACACGAAAGCCGTGAAGCAGACCAAAATCATGCCCAAGAGGGTGGTGAGGCTGGTCGCCAAGGGAAGGGGCTTCCTCGACAACGTCACCATCTCGGCCACCGCTCACATGGCGGCTTTTTTCGCGGCCAGCAACTGGCTGGTGAGGAACCAGGACGAGAGGGGCGGCTGGCCCATCATGGTGACGAGGAAGCTGGGGGAAGGCTTTAAGTCCTTGGACCCGGGCTGGTACTCGGCCATGGCTCAGGGCCAGGCCATCTCGACGCTGGTGCGGGCGTACCTGCTGACGAAGGAGCACGCCTTCCTCAGCTCGGCTCTGCGGGCGACGGCGCCGTACAAGCTGCCGTCGGAGCAGCGCGGGGTGAAAGCCGTCTTCATGAACCGGCACGACTGGTACGAGGAGTACCCCACCTCCCCCAGCTCCTTCGTGCTCAACGGTTTCATGTACTCCTTGATCGGGCTGTACGACTTAAAAGAAACGGCCGGGGAGAAGCTGGGGAAGGAGGCGCGGGTCCTCTACGAGCGGGGCATGGAGTCCCTGAAGGCCATGCTTCCCCTCTACGACACCGGCTCGGGGACCATCTACGACCTCCGGCACTTCATGCTGGGCACCGCTCCCAACCTGGCCCGGTGGGACTATCACACCACCCACATCAACCAGCTCCAGCTCCTCAGCACCATAGACGAGTCGCCCGTCTTCAAAGAGTTCGTCAAGAGGTGGAAGAGCTACCTGCGGGGCGGGCGGGCAAAGCACAACTAGAGCTTCCAACCAAACCCCCCCCCCCCGGGTCCTGCCGCCTCGCAGAGGTACAGCTTCAAAGGTGGCGTCCTGAATTTTTTACGGACCGTTTCAAAGAAGTGATCCTTAGAACTGATCTCCTGAAATCATTGCATTCCAGTGTGAAAACGTTCGGGTCTGATGGGAAGGATTCGGGAACTCCGCCTGTCCTTAGTGCTCCACAGTGAAACTATCCGCACGAAGCAAAACCCCTTTGTGCTCCTGAGTTCGGGGATGAGTTTGGTTTGGTTTGTTGGTTTGGTTTTTTTTTTGTTTTTTTTTTTTTTCCTTTTCGTAGGAAAATATTCGCAGAAGCCATACAGGTCTCTAAACTCCAGCACTTGCCTGAAAAGTTAGTCTGTGGCCTCTTTTAAATTGGAGTTATACGTGTATATGTTGCAAGAGCCTAACAGATCATGTGGTGTAACGCCGTAAATGTGTATTTGCTTGTAGCCCGGGTAGTGGATAGTGTGTCTTTTTTAAGGTTTTTTGGTTTGTTTTTTTTTTTTTTTAGACAGATTCTTTTCTTGGGGTGAAAAATACAATTTTTTTTTTTCTTCTTTTTTTTTTTTCTTTTCTCTCTCCCCCGCCCCCAGTTCTCTGTACGGAGCTCCTTTAGCTGGCTGGTTTCTTTACAGACGTGTGGACGGGAGACACGCAGGCAGCGTGCAGGCTTCGGGGGCTCGTCACGTAAGCACAACTCGGCGGGGCTCGCGGACCGCACAGAGCCTCCAACCGTGCCACCCCCCTTTTTATAAAGCCAATTTCACCATCGCCCGTCAGGTTTGCCGGTGTCACCTCCGCCCTGGTCGCTGGAATCCCTTGTCGTGGAGCCTGATGTTTTATACTGTATTTTTTAATTACATCTGGGAGGTTTCTCTAAGCTTTGGCAAGTTCGTTCTTTGGGAGGCTTGTCTTGAATTCCTGAGTGTGACGTGGAGCTCATTTTGAGTAGTGCACGGGAAATTCAGTCGGAATGAATGAAGGTTTTCCCGTGGCGGTTTTCAGTTTGAACCTGCTTGAGTATGTCAAGCATTTTAAAAATTAAAATTACCCCCAGGAGGCTTTCCAGCTCTGCCCGTGCTTTAATACCAAGTTTCACCTCTCCCTACTGTCTTACTCGGAGTCTAAGGGGTCGCTGCATCTCCAGCACTGGCTCCTTGGCCGTGCTTTGTCTTCGTGGCTCTGCCAGGCGAGCGAGGGCACCCGTGCAATAACCGCACACCCGCGGCCGAACCCGAACGCTTTCGCTGGACTGTTGAAATGCAGAAGAAACCAGGCCAGTTTCTTCTCCCCGTTCATCGGTCCTGCGCACCCACCGGTCGTCACGTCAGCGTGTAGCCTCCTGGGTGATCCAGAAGAGTAAAACCCACCGGTCGCATCATTAGGTCAGGGGTGTTTTGCCGGGTGGTGCAGCAAATGCGGGGTTACCCGCGCTGCTGAGGCGCGCTGGGGTTTGCTGTGAGAGTCCTGGACTCGAGAGCTCCCGCCGTGGGAAGGACGTGTGTCAGCTCTGGGGTTTTGCCGCTGATCCCGTTACCTGTTGTACACGTAGGTGGGGATTAAGCTTAAGATGTTCGTGCTGAGGACAGAATTCATTCAAATCACCAAAAGGCTGGGCACAAGGACAATATGCATCTTGATTTCTTTTTTCTTTTTTTTTTTTTTTTTTTGGTGCTTCTTCGATTTCTCGCAGAAGTTTGAAGCAACTTTTTGATTACTTGATCTTTGCAAGCGCATGCTACGATCGTATCAATTGATATGAGGAGTGGGTGTCACAGGAGAGATTTCAATACCAAAGGTAGCAGAGGTGAATTTTTTTTACGTACATGTGTCTACACACACACACACACACGTGCGCACACACACAAAACCCAGACAAAATGTGCTTCCTTCACAAACGACTGGTCCTTACTGCAAACACAGGAACGTCTTTCTCCTGCACGTTTCCTCCCTCTTTTGCCCGTTTTGAATTTGGAGAATCCAGAGAGGCTCGTTGGGCCTGCCGCTCAAGAGAGTGCCTTACGGAGGCCACAATTTCCAATTTCTTTTTATTTTTTTTTTTTTTTTTTTATTATTTTTAATTAACGCCAGCTGAAAAATTGCTGTGTCGCCGATCTTGCCGTGCTTCGCCAGAGTCACCCCGGCAGCCGTGGGGTCGGTGAGCTGGGCGATGGCCACAGCCACCGCCCTCGGTCCTGTCAGACCACCTTGTCCTTGACACCTCGTTGCGTTTTTGTTGGCCTTAGCACACGCGTAGCTCGAGCCGCCCACCCCCAGAGGCCGCCGGGGCCGGCGGGCGTTCGCCTGCGGTTTCTCCTGTTACTCTTTTCAGTCGAGTTGTGCAGTGGAAGAGGATTCTTGGACATCGGTGCCCATAACTTCATCGAATTCACTTCAGTTGGTGTTTTGTTTTTGTTTTTTTTTTTTGTTTGTTTTCAGTCTTCAAACTGACGAAGGTCTTAGGGACTAAGATCTGTTTAATCTTTCCGTGGGGCTTTGCTGTACATAGACTTCATCGGAAACATCGTGCGCATGGGTATATGCAAACCAGTGACACACAAGCACAACTGTACAAGTGTGGCAGTGCTGTTTCTCTCGGCCATTGTGCAAGACATTCACTGAAAGCTGCTATTTTCATTCACCTTGTAATTGTACTTTATTTTTCCTATGTTTTCTTTTTTTTTTTTTTTTTCTTTTCCACATGTGGGATATACACCATGTGTTAAATATGCAATAAATTGTTTACAGGATGCTCTTGTAAAGGGTAGTCCTTTGTAAAGCTGTACAGACTTTGCAGTTTAAGCACAATGTGCACATGTTAGTTTTATATACAGCGAGACATGACTTTTTGCAGTGGGAAAGGTTCTACTATGTTTCTATACAAAGTAAATGGATCAACGTTTGTGCTTAATGTAAAGCTGCTTTATAAGACTGTAAAATAAATTTTTTTATCTTAAGACAGATGCGGGGCGTTTTCTTTATTTCAGTCAGCACCTTCTGCCCTGCGTGTGGTTGCAGATGAGCCCTGGCGAGCAGTCGCCTTGGCGGATTTGAGGCGTCTCTTTTTAGGGTATTCTGGAAGGGTTTTATCCTAAGGAAGACGGAAAATGCTTATTTTCAACAATTCAGGAGTTTGCTGATTTGAGGTAAGGACCACAGATCTATAATCTCTGTCTGCTGGAGTAGAGTTCACGCAGTATATCGCGGGTGTGAGTTATTTCAGCATTTCGAATTTCTCTGAGTTTTGTTAAATCACAGTTTTAACTGACTGGTCGCTAAAAGCTAGCCTGGCAGTCAGCTGAGCTTGCCTGTAAGGCGCAGGAAGCACAGCACTCTCCAGTTTTCCGCTAAAAAGATGCGAGTTCGATCAAAATTCCCCGCTCCCCAAAGTCGGGATGGAGGTGGCCTCTGTCTCAGCCACTCGGTGCCTGAAGCGCCGGCACACCGGGGCAGGGCCGCTGGGACGCCGGTGCCGCCTCGGCCGGGACACCCAGGACCCCCCGTCCGACCCGGTGGGGAATCATTTTGCGTGACTGAAAAGCACAGAGCGCATCTTCCGCAGCTGGGCAGAGGCTCCAGGACCGTCTCCCAGCCGCTGGGGTGAAAAAAAAAAAAAAAAACAAACAAACGGATTTTTCGTTACTTAGCGGTTAGTTAAAAACGTACGAATTGAAAACCGGAGTGGATTGAAATATGTTGTCTTGGTGATGGATTTGAATGTTCGCTGCTCAGTTTGTGGTGAAAGGAGATACATTTCCCATCTGCCTGGAGTGACTGATAACTCCCAGGGATGCGTTGCGCTTCCTGAATGTTAAATAGCTCCTTCTATACTTTGCTAATCTCTTCCAAAAACGGCAGGAGCTATTTAAAGGCCAGACGCTCAGCGTTTCGGCCCGCTCACCAAGGTGGAGTTTTGCAAGGGCGAAGGGCAAATGTCCTGGCACTCCCCCGGCGCGGGACCTTTCGGGGGGGGGGGGGGTAAACGTTTCGAGAGCTCGTCCTGTCGAATTTTCCAATCTCCGAGCGATTCGCCCGGTAGCTCCCGTGGGCTTGAAGCGAAGACGGACGCAGCGCTCCGGGCGGACGGCGAGAGCCGCCGGGGAGCAGAGGGTTCCTGCTGCTGGCTGGCGGCTGCCTCGGCGCTTTTCCCAGCTCGGAGGAGAGGAGGGCGCCGTGGTTTGGAAGGGGTCAGCACCCAGCGGGTCCTGCGCATCGGTTTTTTTGCTCCTCCACCTGGCCCCGGGGGCTTTCCTGCTCCTCCCGAGGGCCGGGAGCTGGCAAGCCCTGGGTGCCGGGAGCGCGCCGACCAGCGCTTTAGTCCTCGGTGTCCTCGGGCAGGCTGGGGGCTCGCCGGGGGGGGGGGGGGGGGTGGGACAGTGGGACATTTTTGATGGCTGATCGCAGGGCCGTCGGGCTGCTGGAGGGTAAGTGTGCAAAGAAACAAGGGCACCAGCCCGGCCTCACGCACACAAGGTTCTGCTCTTGCCCTCAGCCTGCGCAGCTGCTGGTACCGCGTCCTGCTCTTGGCGGTGGTGAAGGCGAGATGTCTCCTTGTCATTTTTTTTTTTTTTTTTTTTTCGGTTGTTTTCACAGATTAGTCCGGACTAATAGTATTTGCAAGGGGGAAAATGCTCCGCGTCCAGCCTCCCCGCCCTGCTGCGGCTCCATCCCTCGCCTCCCGTGTCTCCTGGCCCGTCTCGGTCGGGGGAAACGCTGCCCTAAAATTGTTGGCCCCGTTTCTCAGCCCACTCTGATGGCCTCGCAGCACTCTCTTCTACATGGAGTCCTCGTGCTCCCAGGACTTCGTCGCCCCGAGGAGGAGACACGAGGGCCGGCGCTGATGCGGGATGCGGCTTCCCTGCCCAGCGAAGGAGGCGGCAGCTTCTTTACCTGCCCTGTGAGGTGTAAACGGGGCACGGACACATTTCCCTGGGGGCCCAGGCGCCTCTTGGCGAGCGAAATCTTGGCCGAACCTTTCTGGGTGTGAAAAGAGGCTTCGAGGGTGCTCAGGAAGAGGCTTGCGCAGGCGCCGAGCAGCATCTTCAGCCCCTTGTGTGCGGGAAGCATCTAAAGAGACTTATTTTTGCAAAGCTGGTTGCTGGGAGGGGTGGGGGAAAAAAAAAGAAGATCCAAATGGCATCGCTTGGGCGGAGAATACTAACCCATTAATTTGATGATAAAGAGCCTTTTTATTGAAATCCCGTCTTTATCCCAAGCGCTCGCGGGACTTGGCTGGATCTTACGAAGCGCTCTGATGTTCCACTGTAGCTTTTTTGTTTTCCCTGGGCCTTGTTTGAACAATCAAATGTCAGCAGAAGCAGCTGGCGGTAAATGCCATTTCCCTCGGCCCGGGGACCGCGGGGCGGGCTGGCTGCTGGGCGCTTAAGCAAGAGATGAGCTGCTTAGAGAGAATTAAATATTTATACTGAGTATTGCTCTCTGAAATGCGCTGGGCCCGGCTTCTGCGGAGCGAGGCCGCCTGAAACTCCGGGGAAGTGAGGAGGAGGAGGAGGGTGTGAGGAAGCACTTTCCAAACGCGGGTTTACATTTGGGGCTGGGTTCTTGTGCCAGGGCTGGAGAGGAAGGGCCGGGGGGGATTTTCCCCACGGAGTCCCCGCTGGTTTGCCGCAGCCGCTCTCCCGCCGCAGCATCCCGGCTGCCGTACCCCCGCGTCCTCCAAAATTTTAACAGCGGTGTCAGCACTGGTGTCCCTCCATCTCGCACGCCCTGTGAGCAGAGCGTGCCAGCATCTTCATGTTATAATTAAAAATATTAATTAAGGCAGGCTGGAGCCAGGAATGTGTTGCATGAGCTGGGCTGTGTCTGGAGCCGGGGGGGGGGCCAGGGGGTCCCGCTCGCTGCCCATGGATGTGCCGGGGGTGGTGATTTTGGCCAGACTCCCCCTTTTTTTTTTTATTTTTTTCCACCCAGGCTCGGCCACCTCAGTGCTCCCCCCATCGCTTTCCAGCCGCGGGGGTCTCCGCTGGGATGCAGGAGGGGAGAACTGCTGCTGTTCATTTTTTTTTTTTTTTTTTTTTAGGATGAATTTAGACTTTTCTAAAGTGTTGGGGTTTTTTTTTTTTTTTTGAGTGCTGGAGCGACCCCATCCCGTAGCAAAACCCCCAGCCACTCTCACCCCAGCTTTCCCTGCCCGTTGCAGCAGGGGGTAAGGCAGGGATCCCGCTCAGCTTGCGAGTGCCTCCTCCTTTTACACCCCCAGCCCTTTTATCAGCCGTGATTTCTGCAAAGCCTTTCGCGGCCCTGACTGTGGTCCCACTGGGAGGAACACCCGTGGAAACTGGGGGCTGTGGGACCCGCCGCAGCCCCCGGGTCACCTACAGACATTTTGCAATTCTGCAAGGCCGGCGCATCACAAGCTCAGCTCCGCTTTGCTACAAACCAGCCCAAGGTCTGGAACAACCGATTGTCTTTATTTAGCACAGCTCCGGCTCGCACCAGCTAACTTCATTGGTGATGGACACCCTTTTATGGGGAAAAAAAAAAAAACAACAAAAAAAACAACAAAAAAACCCAAACAAACAAATAAAACCCAACCCTGACTGATCAGCAGAATTGTCACCTCGTGAGTCGTCCCGTGTTGGTGGCTGTGCCCGGCGCCGACGCCGGCTGCAAAGAGGACACAGTGGGACCCCTCGTCCTCCGTGGGCATCCCCTCCGTGCTGCGCTGCCCGGCGCTGGGCACGGCAGGATCAGGCCCCGTGGTGGTGGTGGTGGTGGGGGGGGGGCACCGAAGAGGCGGCGCTTGAGGTAGAGCGTGAAGAACACGGCGAGGAATGAGACGTGCGTGATTAAACGTGCAGGCTTAGGGCTGGATTAAATATTAACCACTTCTCCCTTCGCACCTCCCGCGAGGAGCAGCGGGGCTGGCGGGGTTCGGGTCCCACGGTTGGAGGCTCCCCCCTGGGTGACCTGCCCGGGGTGGGAGGGATGAGCCGGCGCTGCCCTTGGCGAGGACAGCGGGACACCAGGCTCCCTCTGGCCACGGTGACCTCCCCCTCCTCCCTCCCCGGATCCGACATGAAGGCTCAGCACTGGCCCTGGGGGTTTGGGGGTGCTGGTGGGGCCACGGCTTTGGGCAGGGGAGGGGTGAGACATCTCAAGGGATTGCCCCTGGCACTGGGGGGGAATTGTGTGCCGAGCCCCACCTGCAGCTCCTGACAGCCGCGGGGCCAGGGATGCTTCCCAGTCCCCCCCCTGTGCAATGGCTTTCATGTGCTTGGACATTTTTTGGGGGTTGGGGGGGGGAAACCCTTCCCACGCTTGGTCTTCACCCCTCGATAGAAATTTTGGGAAAGCCTGCGCCCGGACTCTCCGGTTAATTTAAAGAATTTTTTTTTTATTTAAAGCACGTTGCCATCGCTCCACGTGTGTCAGACCTGGGCGGCGGCGGGATGCAGCCGGGACCCATGAGCTGTGACACCAGGGAGGGGGGAAAGGTGAGAGCTGGCACCCACATCCCCGTCCCCTCGGGTGGTGACTGTCCCCAGGCCCCGCCGGGGCTGCGGGGGGTGGTCACAGCTGTGGGTGGAACATCTGGGGGCACATCTGGGGGGGGGGGGTGCCCGGGAGGTGGATGTGCACAGCTGGGGGGACGGATGATGTACAGGGGCGCCCAGTTCTCCCCAGTTCCTTGCTGGTGGCAAAGCGGTGGCGGAGCCAGCGCTGTCCCCGTCCCCAAGCTGGGGGGGGGGGGGGTCTCCGCTGGCACCACTCAGCCCCCCCCAGTTCCCAGCAGTTGGGCCAAGCTGCACCCCCCACCACCACCCCCCCCCAAACCTGCACTGGGCGCCCTGTCTGGGGCTTTCCCGTGGGGGCTCCTTGCCCACAACACGCACTGAGAATCCCTGTGACCCCCCCCCAAATCAGCGGGGGCTCCCTGCACCCACCCACGCTCAGCTCACACCGTTCGCCATTAACGACGGAGCAGGACGGCAGGATCTGGCCAACGCTCCAATGCTGGTTTACATTTAAATTTTTTTGAAAAAAGTAAAAAAATTTAAACGCAAACGCGGGCGGGCGGCGAGGCTCGGGGAGGGCGGGCGGGACGCTGAGCTCAGCACCTCCAGCTCCCCCCGTTAGAGCTGCCCGGGGAATTCGCCCCGCTGCAGGGCCCCCCCGCGCGTCAGCCCCACGGGATTCGGGGCTGCACCCTTCGCCGGAGGCGGGGGGGGTGCTCCAGCAGCACCCTTGCCTTGGTGCTGTGCTGGCTTTTCCCCAGAGCTCATCGTCCTGGGTAAAGCTGAGCTGCACAGCCGGGAGTTTCCCCACTGCAAGGAGCCTTTTCCCAGTGCTTTAACCCCAGGAACAAGAGCCAGCAAAAGCTCTCGGCTGCTTCATGCTCTTTGCTGGTTTTCCAGACCCCTGGGATGTCCTGCTCACACTGTTGTATTTCAGCTCAATTCCTATTTTGCTGGGGAAAAAAAAAAAAAAAAACAAACAAAAAAAACCAAACCAAACAAACAAACAAAAAAAAAACCAAACAAAAACCAACCAAAAAAAAGAACCAAAACAAAACAAACCAAAAAAAAAAAAACTGTAGCTGGGGTTCAGCCACTCGGTGCTGGGAAGTTTGGAGCTCGTTGCACCAGTTGCTGGGGAGGCACCGCGGGGCTGGCACAGCCTTTTTGCAGGCGCTGGAGACGCTGGGTTTGGGACCACGGGGCTTCCCGGGTGGCTTGTACACGGGCACGGTGCTGGGAAGAGAGTCCCGCCTCGGGCTGGAGGTCGTGCCCCCAAAGCTGGGGTGGAAGTATTGGGGTACAAAATCTCCCCCCGGCCGCTGCCAGGCAGAGCTGGTGCCGGGGCATGAGCCGCCGGCTGGATTACTTGATGGGCTCGTGTCAATGATCGCATAAAACCAACCAGGAGTCATTTTAAAGTTTTTTGCGGTTTTATTACGGTGCAGCAGCAGACTTTACCCTTTCCAGCTCATTTGACCAGCTGCAGCTCATAAACCCAGGTAGGCGGAGGGGTAAGCAGAGTAAATCTGCATCTCGGTCTCTGCGGGCAATGGTTTGGAGGAAAAAAAAAAAAGAGCCCAGGAGATGGTTTAAAACACACGCTCAATGCCAAAAGCAAACGGAGGGCAGAGAGGCAGCGTTTGCCTCCTGCTCGCCGCTCTCCTGGCCCGTAGCCCTGCGGGGCCGGGGGCCGGGGGGGGATGAAGTCAGTGACAACCTCCCCCGGGAGCCGAGCTGGCCCCTGCCCTGCCGGGTGCCCAGCCCGGCCCTGCCCGCAAAGCAAATCCTGATTTTTGTGCCAATTTGCCGGCAAAGGGGGAAAAAGCTGCCGGTGACCCAGAGGCGCCCGGTTATCCACGACACAGCTCCTCCGCCCGGGAGCTCCGTGATGAAATCGCCTTCCTTGCAGAGCCCCGGGGACGCCTCCACTTTCCTCGTCCACACAAAAGGGCTGTTTATAAACCGAGCATCGGCTTCCGCCAGCGCCCACCCATCCCGCATCCCTGGCTCGTCCCCCGAGCTCCTGTTTGCTCCCGGGGAGATGAGTTTCGAGGGCCTGGCCCCCGGGGTTTGGGTTTTGCTGGTGGGATGTGGCTCTCTGCAAAGGGGGGGGTTGAGGAATCCGGTAGCGGAGCTGGTGCAAATCCCCCGTGCACCCTCCCAGCGGTGGGGCAGCCAGCAAGGCCCCGGCATGGGGAAACGGGCACGAGCTCAGCGCCGGGGCATCGCTCACAGGGTGGGTGTGTGTGTTGGGGGGGGGGAATGGCACCCGGAGGGAGATCCCAGAACCCCGGGAAGGCGCTGTCTGAGGGGAAAGCCGTGCTGCGGCGCGGGCAGGGGGGGGTTAACGCGCTTACACCCAGCAAGGGCTCTCATGAGCCTTTCCCTTGCGATTAAACCGCGGGGACAGCGCCCGCACACGCCCCGGCCCTGATTTCGAGTGACCCTTATTGCTGGTGTGCCCTACGCCTGGCTCCACGCCTCCCAGCTACTCGATAACCCGGCAGCAGCGCCCGCGCATCCCTCGCCAGCGCCCCGCGGTCCTCAACCCACCGCTCGATTCGAGTGTTGGGAAACACCTTTGCCAACGGCTGCGGTAAAAATAGAGGCTTTATCGGGGAGGAGAAGGGGAAACGCGCTGGGTTTCGCCGCTGGCACAGGCGTGGGGGGAGCCGGCGGGTCCTGCTCCGCGGTGGCCGAGGGGACCCCGTCCCCGGCCGGCTGCCGTCCTCGGCCACCCGGGAACCATGTCCCAAATCTCTCCAGTTTGGCAGCACCTCCCGCTTCGTCTACAGGAGGGTTTTAACTTTACAGTCTCCTTGGAGACAGTTAAGCAAGTTTGGGGTGTTTTCCGGTGCTAGAGCAGAGGGACTGGGGAGCTGAAGATGCACAGGGAGGTCTGTGAGTTAATATTTTTTCCTGCCCTTATTCCACTTCCTCGCAGCCCGGCTGAAGCTAATCCAGAGCACGATCTGAGAGCGTTTGGCCGCAGTTATTTCCGGTTTTATTTTGTTGCCTTTTTCCTGTTCCACTAAAAGACGAGCCAGAATTAATTTGCTCCTAATCTGGGAAAGCAGCCGACGGGGCTTGACCTCCTCCGCGTCCTTCCCCCCGCCCCGAGCCCAGCCGGGCTGCGGGGACCTTCCCGCCGGGTGCTGGCAGCAAACTGGGATTTCGGCAAAGCCTCGTTGCTTTTTCTGCCGGGCTGCCAGCTTTGGCAAACCTGCCCCAGCCCGCTTGCTCGCCTGCCTACGCCCCGGCCAGGCTTCCAGCGTGGCTTGGCCATGTGGGTTGTGTTTGTACACAGATGAGTAATACGGGCGCCCGGAGCCAGCGCCGGCGATAACGCAGCATCCGACCCAGCCCCGCTCCCGGGAGCAGCGTCGTAAGTACCGGCTGCTCTGTTTTATCCCCCACACCCCCCCCCCCCTCCCCGCCGCCCCCCACTTCCCTACCCTACAACCCCGTGTCATTTTTTGCCTTGCTGCTTTTCACGCTGCCCCAGGGAGGCTGAGGATTCGCACGGCGTGAGCTCGCCCGTGGGTCCGCGCCGGGAGGTTGGGAGATTCTCACGCGCGCCGCGGAAAGACGAAGGTGGGAAGGAGCCGGGTGTGACTGGGGACGGTGCGGCGGGCCCGGCAGCTCGTGGCTGGCGGTTTGGGGAATTGATGAAAGTTTCCCTCGGGAGCGTTTGGGGAGCGGGACGGGGCGCGGAGACGCGGCCGTCCCCCCGAGGAGGATGGATGAAAGCGCCGGGTCTGGCAAAGAGCTCCAACACGTGCCCCAGACGCAGCGATGATCGGAAAGCCCTAAGCTGCTGCGTGTGCTCGGAGCTGCCTGCTCGTCTCAGATACCAGCAGCCACCCGCAGCAATAACAACCTCCTACAAAGCCTCTGTTGTTCTGCTGGAAAAGGTCTTGGCATGTCCTGTGCTGCTGACGCCGGTGCCGAGCGCTCAAAGCAGCGCAGCCTCTAGCTGTGCACTTCAAACTAGCCTCTCTCCTTGCGCCGCCGTAAGAAAGTCATAAAAGTTAATAATTAACAGCTAAAATATTTGTTCCCTCCACTGAAAGACGCTGGCTGCTGGCGGGGAGAGCTGTGCCATGGGATACCTGCCGCAGCCAGGCTCCGCGCTCGCTGGAGCCAGGTCCGGACACGCATCGGAGGGAGGGGGTCAGGGCGCCAGGGTGATGGGGTGACAGGGGACACGACAGGGTAATGGGGTGACAGGGTGACAGGGGACACGACAGGGCTCCTCTCAGCAGCGACAAACCGCAGCCTTTAACGGGGAAAGCCGGTGCCAGGCAGGAACCTTCCCCGGGTGAACTTGGCCCAAACCAAAGTCTCCTGGGCTGGACCTGCAGCCTGCGGTGCCCAACATCCCCACGGGGCTTTGTGCACGGAGGAGGAGGAGGAGGAAGAGGTGTGTTTGAAGCCAGCTGGGTGAGCCTGCAGGGTTTGGAAGCTGCTGTTTGCAAAGGTCACGTTCGCAGAGGTCACGGCTGCGCCGTGCCCCCGTCCCTCGACCCACGCCGCTGCCACGGGAGCGCCGGCTCCCCGGGTGGAAAAAAAATCAGCCGAAGGAGGAGGAAAACACGGGACTGCAGGGTGTGCCCAGGCTGCTGCTGCGCCCCGCAGCTCCGGTGACTCATTTGGCTCTTAAAAATACAAGTTCTTCGTTAAGCCTGGGCCTGGTGCCTCCCACGTCCTTCGGCGGAGGCAGCCCGCTGCGGGGTGTGTGTGTGGGGGGGGGACACCAGCTCCCCACTTTAGGCGTGGGTTGCACCTGGGAGCACCCAGCTCGGGGGTCCTGGGCGAGGGCTCTTTGCAAATCCGGGGCTCCTGCTCCCCGCGGCGTGGCTCTGAGGAGAGAGCTCCTGGGGCTTCACCGAGGCAGAAGACATTCTTTTTTGTTCCATCCCATCATCGCCCTCATTTGTGTTTCTATCAGAGGTGGCAAAGGCAGAGCTCTGGGCCAGGCTGCCCTTTAGTTCTGGAGCATGCAAATAATCAAACGGCTCCCTGCCCTCGGCTCCCTGCCCTCCAGCTGCGTCCCCAAGCTCCGGAGGCCACCTCAGCATTCAGGTCCCTTTTCCACCTTGGAAAAGTACAGGAATACCGAGGGGATCACTGGGTGGGGGGGTGCTGCAGGCTCCTCGTAGATTTGAGGCAAAGCCACCTGTAGCACGACCGCCAAGAAAAAGCTCCCGGTTTAAGTCTAATCTTTAACTAAAGGCATCGCCAATTTTATTTTATGTCGGGTTTATTGCTCTCTTGCCTCGTTAAATTTTTCCCTTCTGTTAACCACCTCCCAGCCACCTCCCTCTCTCCGGGCACTCCCCATGCACGGTGACCCACGGCGCTTTGCCTGTGTTGGTTTTCACCGGAGCTGCTTGGCCGGGCAGAGAGGTAGAGTCCGGGCGGGGAGGAAGAGCACAGGAAGAACGAAGGGTAAGGCCGGGAAAAGGGTTTTATTTGGGGCTGGCAAGCCGCCGGCAACGTGTGCTGAGGGCTGAAGCTCGCCGTGCCCCGGTGTGAAGTGATGGGGTGGCTGGGGCAGCTGAAACACCAGCCAGGGAGCAGCTCTCAGGCTGAGCTCACAAGCCGAGCCTTGGGCTCCCTTCTCGCCCAGTTTCCCCCCGGGGCCAGGCTGTCCCTTGCAGCAGATGATCATTTCTTTTTCTCACCTTTATTTCACAGCCGAGCAGCGGAGGTGGAGCGGGGAGAGGCGGCGCTGCCAAAGCCACCGGCGGGTAAGAGATGGAGACGCTGGGGCTGGAGGGATTGGGATGCTCGGCGGGGAGAAAGGAGCCAGCCTGGGACCCTGAGTGTCCCCCCCCCCCGAGGGGACCTGCCTGCACCCTGCAGCCCTCCCAGCCCGTGCCCGGGGCTTTCTGTGTGACCTCGGGATGCTCTGGGGGTGTGGGGCCTGTTCCCACGCCACCCCCGGCTCTTTTGGGGTGGTAACGGGGAGTTTCAGTCCCTCTGAGTGGAGGGCCCAAGGATGCACTGTCCAACTCCCCCTGCCCCTTTCGGGTGTGGGTGGGAGGGAGGGATCCCAAAATCCTCGCCAGGGGTGGGTGCTGTCTCCCCTCCCCGTGCCACAGGAGCCCCCCCCACCCACCCCGTAAGCCTTTGCCACCTGTGGGTTTGGGACCCCACCCGGGGGGGGGACGGACACTGTGCCACCTCCCCACAAACTCCTGTCTCCCCCAGGGCCACCCCGTCCTGAGCATCGCTGCGGCCACCACGGGACAGCCCCGGCCCATCGCTGCCCCAGCGGGGGGTGAGATGCGGCCAGGCCGGGTGTGAGGCATCGCCGGGGCTCGTCCCGAGCCAAAAAACGTCCCTCAGAGCCTCAACCCCGACCTGCACGATGCTGAGCCTCAAGTTACCCCGGCTGCTCAGCATCAACCAAGTGCCCAAGGTCAGAGAGGAGTTTTTCTTCCCTATGCCCGAGGCTCGGTGGGGTTTGGGGAGGTGACAAGCGGGAGCAGCGTGCTGGGGTGGCCGCCCCCCCCCCTGCCCCAAGCAGCGCTCGGTCCCACAGTCCTGGGTCCTGAATCACGGGCACCATCCTTCCAGCAACCTTCCTTCCTTCTCCTCCGATTTGTCCTTCCTTCTCCTCCGATTTGTCCTTCCTTCTCCTCCGATTTGTCCTTCCTTCTCCTCCGATTTGTCCTTCCTTTTCTTCTGATTTGTCCTTCCTTCTCCTCCAATTTGTCCTTCCTTCTCCTCTGATTTGTCCTTCCTTTTCTTCTGATTTGTCCTTCCTTCTCCGATTTGTCCTTCCTTCTCCGATTTGTCCTTCCTTCTCCTCCGATTTGTCCTTCCTTCTCCTCCGATTTGTCCTTCCTTTTCTTCTGATTTGTCCTTCCTTCTCCTCCAATTTGTCCTTCCTTCTCCTCCGATTTGTCCTTCCTTCTCCTCCAATTTCTCCTTCCTTTTCTTCTGATTTGTCCTTCCTTCTCCTCCGATTTGTCCTTTCTTCTCCTCCGATTTGTCCTTCCTTCTCTGATTTGTCCTTCCTTCTCCTCTGATTTGTCCTTCCTTCTCCTCCGATTTGTCCTTCCTTCTCCTCTGATTTGTCCTTTCTCCTCCGATTTGTCCTTCCTTCTCCTCCGATTTGTCCTTCCTTCTCTGATTTGTCCTTCCTTCTCCTCCGATTTGTCCTTCCTTCTCCTCCGATTTGTCCTTCCTTCTCCTCTGATTTGTCCTTCCTTCTCTGATTTGTCCTTCCTTCTCCTCCGATTTGTCCTTCCTTCTCCTCCGATTTGTCCTTCCTTCTCCTCCGATTTGTCCTTCCTTTTCTTCTGATTTGTCCTTCTTTCTCCTCCGATTTGTCCTTCCTTCTCCTCCGATTTGTCTTTCCTTTTCCTCTGATTTGTCCTTCCTTTTCTTCTGATTTGTCCTTCCTTCTCCTCCGATTTGTCCTTCTTTCTCCTCCGATTTGTCCTTCCTTCTCCTCCGATTTGTCCTTCCTTTTCCTCCGATTTGTCCTTCCTTCTCCTCCGATTTGTCCTTCCTTCTCCCCCGACGGCCACCAGTGCCGGTCCTTGCCTTGCAGGGGTACCAGGAACAGGGGATCCTCTTCGGGTATCGCCCCCCCAGCAGCTCGGCAGCCGACTGCCTCCTCAGCGTCTTCCAAATGACGAACGAGACCCTCAACATCTGGACTCATTTTGTGCCCGCTTGGTAGGTACCGTGCCCAGCATCCGCAAGAGGAGGTGGTGGCTCTCCGTGGTGGGAGCAAAGCTGGGGGGAGCGAGGATGGGGGGCACCCAAGGGTGCGACGCTCACCTTCCTCCTCCTCGCAGGTACTTCGTGTGGACCCTGGTGGGGCGGCTGCGGGGGCCGGGGGGCCAGGAGGACCCCCACGCCTGGCCCCTCCTCGCCTACCTGCTGACCTGCTGCATCTACCCCCTCGCCTCCAGCTGCGCCCACACCTTCAGCACCATGTCCACCCGCGCCCGGCACATCTGCTACTTCTTCGATTACGCGGCTCTCAGCATGTACAGCTTGGGTAAGGACACGCACGGCCGCAGAGGCTTCACCGGGTGCTGGTCCCCAGCGCTCCCCGGGGAGGGGGGGGGGAGCACAGGATGGTACCAGGGAGGGGGATGAACCCCGGGTGCTCAGACGGGATGAGCAGAAACAGCGGCTGCTTGTGTGTAGTCGCTACCCCTCTTCCTCCTCCCTGCAGCTTGGTGCTTGGGAGGGACCGTGAAGCATCTCTGACACCGCCGCAAATAATAATTTGGGGGCTGGGTTTTGTACCGGGCAGCCCTGGGATGGAGGCCTGGCTGCGTGACACTCTTCGGGGCTTCTAGTAGAGTAAGGGGATAATAAAAAAAAAAGCATATTAAAGATAAATGCTGTCAGTGAAGTCGGGCAGCCCTGGGAGAGAGGCCTGGTTGCCTGATGCTCTTGGGGATTTGTGGTAAATAGAATAAGATGGGGGGAAAAAAAAAAAAAAAAAAAGCACATTAAAGACAAATTCTGTCAGTGAAGTCGGTGGCAGGGGGCAAGCCGAGGGTGGGCAGCAGCAGCCGGGGGCTTTGTGGGGCACATCCCACCCCCATCTCCTCACGGAAAGGTGCCAGCAGGCACTGGGAAGGGGGGTGTCTGCCTCGTGCTCCCCTTGGCTCCTCCACCTGAATCCACAGCTCCCTTCCCCGAGGGCACCCAGCGCCCGCTCACAGCTGCGCCCGGGAGGGTGCTGAGGGTCCTGGAACTAAGCGGGTCCCTCCGGTACCTCCAGGCTCGGCGCTGGCGTACTCGGCGTACATCTTCCCAGCAGAATGGCTCGACAGCACTTTCCACCACTGCTACGTCCCCATCGCTGTGTTCAACACCGTCGTCAGCACCGGTCTGTCCTGCTATTCCAGGTGAGCTGCTGCTTTATCTGCCGTGGTTGCTACAGCATAATCATTAATCAGTATCATTAATAAAGCTTTTCCATTACAGGCCGTACTGTGACAATAGGAGTCTTAAGCTCAGGAAGGGGAAGAACAGGACTTTTGGTTTGGGAAGCGTGTTGCATGTGGGCACTGGGAGAGTCTGATGCTCAAAAATGCGAAACAATCGAAGTTAGCTTTAATTTTTGAAAGTTCCGAAGGTAATTTTGTAGGGGGGCACGCCCGGCAGGAAGACACCCGCCTCCAGCACCTTGCTTGGGCTGTTGGTTTTCTAACATAACCTGCAAAAAGGGGTGGGCCCCAGGACCCCCAGCGTTGAAGCATGTGCTTAGGTTTAAACATGAGCGTGGGCCTCCCAACAGCACGTGTCAGCCCGAGCGCTGTAGGTGTCCGCGGGTTTCTGTGTGTGTATCTACGCGGGTTTCTACCCGTGCGAGTGTTTCTGTGTGCGTATAACAGATTTGCAGAGGAGGAACCTCAACATTCTCGCGGGCGGTTGCGTAATTCTTGAAGCATGAGCAGCATTGCGTGCGCGGCGTTTTGCTCCTGAATGGCATCAGTTTGTTTGGAATAACTCAAAGGTCTAAACTCCTTGGCTGATTTCCAGCGATACATGCCGTGCTAGAGCTCTAGCTGGATTGGGTTTTGTTTAATTCGGGGTAGATACCTCCCTCCCTGAAGGCTGTGTTTGTGAAGCACTCCTGTGTCCGTCACTGCGACGACAGCCAGTTTGCTTGGCAAAACGTCCAATCCCCGTTCTCGCAAGCGGCGTGAATCATCTGGCGTTATTCCCTCCTTCTATCCTGGGGTGGTTTTGTATTTCGGGATGGCTTTGGCTTGTCACAGCATCACAGAACCCTGGGGGTCCTTTCCTCCCCGGTTGCTGTGCTCCCCCCAGACCCTCCCCGGGCACAGGGCTGTGTTTTGTCGCTGCTGCCTCGGCCGGGAGGAGGATGCTCCCAGGTCCTGGCAAGCACGGCAGGAAAAAAAATCACGGTGCCCGGCTGGCTCTCGTCACAGCTCCCATCTTCCCCACAGGGAGAGCGCTAAGCTCCCGATATTCCTGACGGATCCTGCAAATTTGGCTCATTTACTTTTCTCCTGTGTGCGGGAGGATTTACTCGCCTTTTGGTCTGTGGGTTTCTCACCGGAGTAACTCCCTGGGGTGGAAGATTTGGACCTGTCCTTGGCGTTCCTGAGCCGCACTGCAAACTCAAGGATCTCTCTTGGCTCACTCGGTGGATGATGCCAGTTTGGGCTTGGTATTTTTTCCTGATATTCCTCATTTCTTTCTCTTTGTCTCTTTTCCCCTCTCTTATTTTTGTCTTGTGCGTCTCTTTATTGTCTCATTAGATGGGCTTAGCAAACGAAGCTCACTGACCAGGTGCTAATCCTAGTACTTACCGCTTGAAGATAACACTTAGGAAATACCAGCAACTTGAGATCAGTGCCAGATCAATTTGGAATGTTTAAAAAAGATCATAATTTTGATCCACAAACTTAATTGCCAGCATCTCTCTACTACAAAACTGTAAGTACAGGTATGTGAAAAACACCCGCCTCTGCTACACGGTGCTTCTATAAGCGGCTTGTGCCGGGCTTGCACCCGGTGGGTTGGGGATGGGGAGACCCCCCTGAGACACCCCCCCACCCCCCGAGGCCACCGGCGCCCGGGTCACCCCGTTTCCCACCGCTGCTCACCCGGCTGAGTCCCAGCAGCCAAAACGTCCCTCCGAGGCGGGAGGTTTGGGCGGGAGCGGACCCGAAACGGAATTGTGCAACGGGAGGTGATGCTTCCGAGCTGGGTGTGCTCGGAGGGGACCTGCCCGGGCATTCCGGCTCCTGCCCGGCTCGCCGAGGGCTCAGCACCGGCTCCGCACCCTGGGCAGGGCTCCCTCGAGGAGTCGGGGGGGGGGGTCCGTGGCTACCGGTGGCCCTGGGCGCCCGTGGCACTGCCGGGGACTGGGGGGGGGTCACCCGAGGAGAGAGCGGTGAGCAAGAGCGGCTGGTCGTTTCGGAGGGGCTCAGCCGAGGGAAGGGGTGCTGAGCCTCCGCACCGCGACCCAGCACCGCGGCAGAGTACGCTCAGCCTCTTGCGGGAAGGGCAGCGGGAGTGCCGGGCGATGCAGAGGAGGATGCAGCGACGTGATGAAGGCAGGGACGCGAAGAAAGGCTGCTGCACCAAACTCCAGCCACCTCTCAGGAAAATTTTCCAGTCCTAGGTGGCTGGTTGATGAGTCAACAGTAAGACTTTTTGTTTGGTGGGTTTTTTTTTTTTTTTTTTTTTTGCATCCTGTGCCCTAGGAACACTGGATTGCCAGAGAGGGAAGCACATGCAGACAGGCTGAAATAGGTGTGTTTGTCCTTTCCGTGACACTAGATACCCCTGTCACACTGAAATAGCGTCCGACTGCATCCCCTCCCCGGTGCAGCCGCATAAAAGGTTTCTTTCATGCTGGAAGATTTGGCATCTCCCTGCAGACATCCCTGCGAAAGCAGAATAACCTGTATGGGCTTTTCACGCTGAGAACAGGGTGCGTTTGAGCTCTGGTACATCTCACGTTGTCCTCTGTGACTCCGGCACTGTCCTCAGGTCACCGTGAGCCCGGGCTGCGATACGGGGGCTCAGTTTTGGCAACAGAGGAGCTCAGGTTGGGTCGGCACGTGGCCGAAGCAGTGGGAAGGTGCGTGGTAAGGGTGAGCGCGGCAGCGAGCAGCGGCGGGTGGGCAGGGTGGGAGCGCAGCACCGGGCGGGTGAAGCCACGGTAGGAAAATACAGCAGGAATCGTGCAGAAATGGGAGAGAAAACAGAGCAGGAGGCACCTTCCGCCTCATCGTGATGTCTTCTGAGCAAGCTACAAGCCCTGGTGGACAGCCAAACGGAGGAGGAGCCCTGGTTCTTGAGCATAAATTGAATTGTTGGGGTTTCAACCCGTATTTTGGATCGTATTGATAGAGCCCTTCTGCTTTGCGGGTAGAGCTGCTGTAACTCTGCTCCAGTTAACCTCCTCGTTTCCACCCGGGGCTAAAACCCTATAAAAGTTGTTTTTTTCCCAGCAGGGAAGCATCGGAGGGAGAGGCTTTTTGTTCCTGGCCTGGAGCTCCCGCGGCTGCGGCGGGAGGGCAGGGGGATGGGCTCGCTGCTGGAGCCCTCCTCGGGGTGGGGAGCATCGTGACACCCACCCCACTGTCCCCCTAAGCCCCCCGCGGCCGGAGGGGCGGGGGTCGGGGTGGGGTGCGTTGCCCGCGCCGGTCCCGCTGCGGGCGGGAGGAGATGCTGCGCGGAGCAGGGTGGCCGGGGGGCCGGCTTCTTTGAGGCTCCCTGCCTCCACGTTTCGTTTGAGTTGTGTTCCCCACACAGCAAGAGCAGGCACGGGGCTGGGCACAGGGCTTGCCACCCAGCTCCGGGTTTTATGATGTTTTTTTTTTTTTTTGGAGGGGCGGGGGTGGGGAACATGGGCGGTCAATTATGTTGTGATTTCAGCTATGAAGTACGTCCTACTTTTCAGCAGCGTGATTTCCTGGGGAACAGAATGCAGAATATTATTCCCCGTCCAGACATACGCTTCCCTCCTCATATACGGTGCGATTATAACCAACAGGCTTCTGCTTCCGTTATAACGGTGATGTCATGAAAAAGTAACTTGTTTAATTAATTTAGTTTGTGATTTCGGTAACTCTCCGCATGCGTTCTCTGAAATGACACTGGCGAAGTCTCGGCGGGGTGTAAAAAAGAAGGCTGCTGCGACATTTCGTGCATTTCAGGCATAAGCTGCAATACAGCTTAATTAACAAACAGTGACAATCGCAGCCTGAACGCTGCATTACCTACAAAGCCTGCCGAGCCAAGGCAGATGTATTCTCCCTGATCGCCGTGCTTGGAAAGCTTGGATTCAAAACCAAGAGTGAAAACTCAGTTAACAACAACTGCAGGGGAAGCAGCTGTTTAAAGAGCAGCTCTGTTCCCAGCTGCTGATGGGCAGCAGCTAATGAGCAATGGCAGAAGGAGCAAAATTGGCCGTGGCAAGATGGTGTGAAAAAGGTTGTTTTCAGAGCTGCACCTGCGAGAGCCAGAGCATCGGAGAGGGGAGGGTGGCCCCTAAATCCTTCCTCCCCCAGCTCAGGGTGCAGCCAGGGAAGGTTCAGCCACCTCAGCTGAGGGTGGTCGCGGCTTTAATACTCTCAGCAGAGAAAAACTGCATGGCTCTGGCTGAATTCAGTCATCGTGGGAGGACAAACGTGCAGCCTGTCCGCTGTAATTCACAGTCCCTCGCAAATAAGCTGAATCCAGCGCTTACCTCAGCCTCATCTGCCACACTGGGCCACGTGAAATAGCTTCTCTTTTTTTTTTCTCTAGGTTTCTGGAGGTGGAGCGGCCCAGGTTCAGCAAGGCTTCCCGCACCCTGGCCTTTGTGTACCCGTACCTCTTCGACAGCATCCCTCTCTTCTACAGGGTACGCCTCCCACCGCCCATATTCACAGCACCAACACATTTGCTTGCTGCAGGGTTGGAAATATCAGCTGCTTCATCTCACTCTGAAAATATTTGGGAAAATATGCCAGTCATTTTTTTTTTTTTTTTTTTTTTTTCCCCCCCCAAGGAAAACAAACTCTGGCAGGAAAAGAGATTTGGTTATTTTTTCCTGTACCTATTGATAGGCAGATTCCTTCACTTCAAAGCGCCGCGCTCAAACTTTGCTCGTGCTGGAAAGTTCCTGCCTTTGAAAGCCGCAGGTTTTCCAGTTCCTAAACTGGAGCGGGGTGGGAATTTTGCTCCAGTGAGCTCTAAGGACAAGAAGTGCGGGGCTGGGATTCGCGTGAAAACGGAGGCGCCAGCTCTTGTTCGGAGCCCTGGGTCCTGCCCTGGGGCTGGGCAGCTGGAGATGACGGGGGGGTGGGGGGACTCGGGGGACGACGCTGATTCCTTTAGAAACGTGTTGTTCCCCTCTTTCCCCTGCGTGGGACCCCTGCGTGGGGCACGTCTCTGCTGCTGCAGTTCTACCTGTGCGCGGCGGAGAGCTGCACGGAGGCGGCGATCCTGGTCCACTACAAGCACACCGCCTTCGCCTTCCTCACTTGCTTCATCTTCGCCAGCCACCTGCCAGAGAGACTTGCGCCAGGACACTTTGATTACATCGGTAAGTGCCAAAAGGGTGAGCTGGCATTGTTTTCTCATGAATTTCAGGAAGAAAGCGCGTTAATGCACGACTCCCCGGGGTTCTAACATATTCCCTGGTGGAAATTCAAACCGTGGTTTTACATATAAGACGCAGCAGACCTGCCTAGGTGAAGTGGGAACAGCGCTGGAAGCCTGCTGTATCCAAAATGGTTCAGAGATGACCGCAAAGCACTCATTTCTCATGCAAAAAAAAAAAAAAAACCAAAACCTCACCTGTGGCACAGCGGTGCTTCACGGTGCCGTGTCGGGGCACTGCTCTGAGGAGACTGGAGGCAGTCCTGGCCACTTTGGGGTTTTCCTGCCCTCGCCTCCTCGGCACACCCCTCGCTTCCATTACAGCCAGACGTGTTTTGGAAAGTAAGATTTCCGTGCTCCGATGGCACAGCGATAAAAGCCACAGAAATTAGTAGAATGAATATGTAAAAACCTGATGCCTGGAGGCAACGGGCGCTGCGGAGAAGGTCTGCTGAGCCCTCACGGTGGTGTTTTTAACGAAGCCCCAAGGAATATTTGTGGGTTTTTTGGTTTGGTTTGTTTTGTTTTTTTTTTTTTTTGTTGTTCTGCTGAGCGCTCTTGGCTTTGTTGCAGGGCACAGCCACCAAGTTTTCCACGTCTGCGGGATCATCGGCACGCACTTCCAGATGGAAGCCATCACGATGGACATGGCCGAGCGCCGCGGGCGGCTCCTGCCCACCTCGCTGCTGCCCTCCTCCCTGCAGACCCTCGGGTCCATGGGCATCTGCACGGCCGTGAGCCTGGCGGTCATCGGGCTCTGCTCCACCTCCCTGCGCTTCAGCCCGGAGCCTCCGCAGAGAGAAAAACCACACGGGCATTAGGCTTCGGGTCTATCCAGTATTTATGCTGCTCCACGGGAGAGACCCGAAACAATATGTGTATGGTATGGGTGAGGAGGAGTTTATTTGCCTGCGCTCTCTGAGAAAATTTAACATTTTTCTCAAGAGTGAAACATATTGCACTGGTTTTTGTACGTATACAGCTTTAAAACTGGGAACAGATTATGAAGTGCTTTTAATCAAGTTGCTATTTCGTCACAAGAAATACTTAAGATATTCTTAACTTTTTCTGTAAAAGGGAGATAAGTGCTAATACTTTCCAAAGCAATAGGCATTCATCAGGTCTGCCTTACGGAAGAATCGGGGAGGCAAGTGAATGTGGATCACACCGGTCACCTGCTGACATAGATGTCCTTGTCATCAGTTTAGATGACAGCCAGGACTGCTTGGTGAAGGCACGAGCAAGGGCTCTCCCAGGGGCTCCCTGAAGAAGGTTTTCACCTAGGAAGTGGCATTATTTTGGAGATTAAAACTTCAAATATCTGTGTTACACAGCCTTACGCTAAACCCAAGTGCCTGACAGGTGCGGGATTGAGAGAGACTAGTTCGCCTGTTTTAAATTTTTAATCATTACCCAGAAAGAGTTATTCTAGAAAGGATCCTGGGATGTTCCTGGGGAATAGCTTTTGTTGTTGTTGTTCTCCAATTCCGGTGCGCAGGTACGTCCTGGGGGATGAATTCCCACGGGAGAGCTGAGCTCTTGCCTGCGTGGGCGATGCCCTTGCCCCGGGCACTGTGTCCCCCCCCTCCTCGCACCGGCCACCTCCGTCCCGTGTTCCCACCCGGGCTCCTTCTCCAACCTCCTTTGTGGCATCGAATGGAACCGCAGGGAGAAACACCCGCAGCCGCGAGGTGACGACGTGGACTTCCTCACAAACGCCGATCCGTGCCGAGTGTTGAGCCCGGGCGCGAAGCCGCGCTGCTCAGGAAAGGTGTTTGTCACCTTGTTGAGGGCGATGGCTGAGAAATTCATGAGGAATCCTCTCCCGGGTGTTTCCGGAGGCGGGATACAGGGGCTGGACAGACCCTTGGTCTGAGGGTGTGACTGATGGTAGGGCCGTTGCCTCTGAACTTTTCTAGCTTCTCGTCCCGCTCGCATAGAAGAATGTTGTTTTTTTTTTTTTCTTTTCAAGAGTGAATAGGATGGGGGTGTCTGGGGAGAATAGAACATCATCTGAGCAAGAAGTGGGAGTAGAAATGTGAGCGCTGTGGGATGAAAGGCAGGATTTAGAGCAGCTGAGCGGGTAACGCACAGGGGATCAAAACCTGTAATTGTAAAAGCCTTTCCAGAGTTCAACCTCTGCTCGCCCAGCACCAGCCCTCTGCTCCGGCTGTTGCTCCTCGCTTTCCTTTGCTGCTGCATTTGGGTTTTACGGGCAGAAACGGGGGGGGGCCTGGGGGGAACCTGGGGGGTCTCAGCCCGGCCCGGGGCGAGGGGTGCGGCGGCCCCAGCAACCGAGGTTGTCACCTTGGATTTCCCTAACGCCGCGCGGGAGGTACGGGAACAGCTGATGTAAAGATTTCTGCTAGGGAATATTATCAAGCTTCTTGATAATCATACGGGTGTATAATTTGTTTTGTGTGTAATTGCCTCTATCAAGGTAAAATTGATGCACTTTTGAGTGACAATAGAACAGCTCATTAAATATATTATGGGACAAATATGTCTTTTGAAAAATAGCTTTCTTTTGAAAGCTGACCGAGATTTCTATCAATATTTATAAGCACTGGAACAGAATTGTTTATTCAACAGTTTTATTTCATTAAAAGAGAAAACTAATATAACTATCGCACTGATATATGCTAAACTGATTTGTATAGTTTCATAAAAATACCGTCCGTGAAAATTAATCACTTCAGAGATAATTGCTAATAATTGCAAAGCTTATTTACCTTGCGTACTCATGTGACCGGAAAGGAATCTGGCTCTGCCTGCAAGACATGATTTAAGAGCCTGCAAAATTTACGTGAATCATTATGCATTTTTTTCTTGGCCATTTAACTTTTGAATTCGGGAATTCCTCTCGTCCTCTTCAGGTGAAATAATTTCTAGGAAAACTACATTAGAAATATAACAGTAGTAGTATTGTGCACTATAACAATATAACAGTATGGTAGTATTCTCCACTACCGTAATCCCTGGGGATCCTGCAACGCCTCGCGTGGCCCCTTTGTCTGGCACATACTTCGCACACTGAACAAGCGAACGTTTGATCTTGAAGCAGCACAGGTCGGCCAGATTTCTTTTTCATCTGGAGATAGGCCTTCAGAAATCTATTCAATGTACTAAATGTCATTCACATAAAGAAATAAAAAAATCTGTGTCAAGTTGTTACGAGTAAATAATACAGGATAATTATTTGTTGGAACGTGTTTCCTTGGGTGTCTCCGCCCAATCCAGAGCAAACCCCGAACAAAACTATCACCTTTATGAGTAAATCCCAGAGAACATCACTCATCTACTCTTCAGCCAAGCAGATTTTACTGCGCTGATGAATTATACGGACACAGCAGAGTTTGAGGTCTAATGAGTTCCTTTGGGTTAAGGTGAAAGGTGAATCTGAATATTCCTGAATAACGCTTAATCCAAAAAGATGCACGGCTTTTTTTTTTTTTTCCAGAAGAGTATGATACCCAATGTGGATTTAAACGAGCTGGGAGGAGGGTATGAATGGGATTGTGGCGGGAGCCAGGACGGGCTCCTGGAACACCCCCCGGGGAGGCGGGTGCCGTCGTCGGGTTTGCTTCGGCCTCGGGAAAGGCGGCCGGTGTGCCCATCCTCACCTCGCTCCTCAAACCACCCTCCCAAGCGCGGGGGACGCTCCCGCGGCAGTCAGCGGAAGCGTGAGCCGTTTTTTGGGGCAAGAAGTGCAGCTTCAGGGTGTTTTTTTTTTTTTTTATCCATTAGTTCCCCCAGGGGCTTTGGGAATTCAGTCTCGTTTTGAGGGTGGCAGCCCCATCTTACCAGTTTTAGGGGTGCAGGGCAAGGACGGTCGTGGCGTGACGGCGGGACCGCACGCGGGGCTCCGGCTCTGCTCCTCGGTTCCATTTGGGCCGGTTGTCTCCTTGATGGGTGTTACGAAGAACATCCAGAAATGTGTGTTTCGGTGTATTTTAAAACGCTGTTTAAGAAGCAAAAGTTGCACTAGGTTGCTGACTTCTGCTAGCGGTCACAGTGAAAAATAAAACACAGTTTATTGGGATTTATTTCTTTGGATTTTTTTTTTTTTTCCCCTTAAGGGTGTAAGCTTATTTGATGTAGTTAACTTGCACTAAAACTGAGAATTGACCGGAGTCTGTGGTGTAAGAAAGATTGAGTTCAACCCGCTGGAGGCCTTTAGAGCTGCTACCCAGGGTTAAACCCCGAGTTACCCCGTCCTTCACCCCAGTTTCCCCATTTGAATTAGCAGAGCATTTCCTCCTCAGGAAGTCAGGTCTCGAAATGAACTTGTTTGGCTGTTTTTTTTTTTTTTTTTCACCCACGTCTTCACAATTTAGGCTTTGTTTTCCATTTCCTCCGGGCTGGGGATAAACCGATTTTCCCCCCCCAGCCCGGCAGCAGTTTTGCCCCGGCGGATTCGCGGGATTACACCTCTCCTCCCAAACCCCCAATTTTTATTGACGCCGAGCGGATAAAACCGGGTGATGACGCGCCCAGGCCCAGCGCGAGGCCCCCGGTGCGGCGGTTTCTGCCGTTTCCGTGAGGCGGGGCCCGGCGCCGGGCCGAGGGCGGGATTCGAACCCGCGGCAACCGCTCACGGAGTGCACCAGGCCCAGCAGGGGGGGCGCCCGCGCTCCGGGCCGCCTCCCTTCGCCGTCGCCACAGCAACGCGCGCGGCCCCGCCCCCCTCCCCCGGGAGTGGGTGGTTGGTTGGTTGGTTGGTTGGTTGGTTGGTTGGTTGGTTGGTTGGTTGGTTGGTTGGTTGGTTGGTTGGTTGGTTGGTTGGTTGGTTGGGGGGGAGGAAGGGGCGGGTTCGCCCGCTGCGCGCGCGCTGATTGGTTCGATTTGAATCGGAGCGCCGCGCGCGGGTGGGCGGCGCTGCCGGTCCCTCAGCTCAGAGCCTCTGGCGGCCGCTACCGCCGCTGTCGCGATATCCGCGCCGCCGACGCCGCTCCCCCGCGACATGAAGCCGCCGTAAGTTCCTCCCCCCCCACACACACACACTCCCCCTCCCCCTGAGGCGGCCGCGGGGTCCGGTGGAGCCGCCCCTCACGCCTCTCCCGCCCTCACACAGCAGGGCCAAGCCGCCGCGGAGGCCGGCGCTGAAGAAACCGTCCAACCCCGCCCTGAAGGACCCGGTGGGGGTGAGTGAGGGGCCGGGGGAGGGGGCCCGGGCCCGCTGCCGCCCTTCGGGGCTGCGCTGAGGGACGGCGGGCCCCGCCTGTGCCTGTGTGTCCCTTCCCCCAGGTGTACTGCAGGGTGAGGCCGCTCAGCCGCTCCGACCAGGAGTGCTGCATCGAGGTGATCAACGAGACCACCGTCCAGATCCACCCGCCCGATGGCTACCGGGTCTTCCGCAACGGGGAGTACCGCGAGGTAACGGCCCCGCGTCTCCCCTCCGCCCCGGGGCTGTGCCCGGCTGGAGGGGCCGCCTGCGATTGGGGATCGAGGGGGCTTTTTCCCCGCTGTCGGTGTTTTCCGCCGGCTTTGCGGCGTGTGAAGCGCCAGTTGGCGCTTTGCGGCTTTTAAAAACCGGCTAGAGCAACCACGCGCCGTTTCGTGAGCCGTGCTCCACGTGCGGAAAGGCTTCTGCGGGGCGGAGGAGGAGGGTAAAAGGAGCAAAAGCAAAGCTGGCAAGTATTTAGACTGCTTGCAGGGCTTTTTCACGTAGAACTGAGTGGAAGAAACCATCTCTGAGATTAAACCAGGCACAAATTAACGGTTGATTTATCCCAAACTGAAGTTGGGCAGAAAGCAATGTTTCCGTATTTCGAGAATAGGGGCGCGAAGCTCTAGATTATGTACACAAAGTGGTGAAACGTCATGAAATGCAGAAAAGTTGGCAG